CGTAGTCGTGTGTTTATTAGTCACGTTGAATTAATGAAAGCAGTTAAATCTTCTGTTCATTCAGCAACCGCTATAGGGGTTTCTTCTGTTTCTTCTGTGAGGTGTATTTGGAGTTTCAGCGCGAGAGCGCCCTCTGGCCTTTGGATGTGCTGATCACTCGCGATTTCGATTTATCGTGCAGCCCTACGTTCATTTGTTGTTTACGGTTCTGCATATGACAGTACGAGGAGTAAAAATAATTTTCAATGTTTGTTGGCACTCTTTCAGAAGGATTTAATTGATGTACTGATGTGGATTTGTATCTGTTTTGATGCTACAGAGGAGCTGGTGGATGGGAAAACCTTGCACCTGTTGAAGTCTGTGGATCAGGAGCTGACTGCGGCGACTCAAGAGCGGATTGAGTTTCTGCCGCACTACCATACTCTGGTGCAGTGTGGCATGTACGAGTACTACGCTAGTGAAGGACAGAAGGCGCTGCGTAAGTTTGCGCGTCCACCTCTGCCGTACATGAACGCGGTGCCAGTCTGATGTGCTGTGTTTCTCTTTCTGTTGTGTTGCAGCCTATGCCTTCGCTGAGCTCATCGATAACGCGCTGTCAGCCACCGCAAGAAACACGGGAATCAGGAGAATTGAAATCAGATTGGTGAGAATTCAAACCCTAGTGAACTGTATCAGTGTCATTGTTTTACATGCTAAATGTAGGCTTACATTGACAGTAGTAATTAAAGATTAAGATTTAGTTTCGAAACGAAATGCAGAAGCGCCCTGTTTCTTATTTATTTTATATATATATATATATATATATTTAAATGTTGTGTAAGTTTTTTAATTTATATTAGGTCTATAGCATGGTGCATCTTTATTCAGTTTATTAACAAAAGTTCTATGTTTAATATAAGTGAGTTTGTCGTTGTACTGTTTTGTTGTTGTCCATCAAAGCAATTGACGCCGAATTGCTGCTAATTCGAAAGTGAAAGTAAAATGCACACAGGCATTTACAAGCTATTAAAAGCGAAAGAGAGAAAACTTCAACGAATCATTCTGATATGCTGATTTGCTGCTCAAGAAACATTTCTTTAAAAAAAAAAAATCAGTTTTTGATGGATAATGTTTTGAGGAAGCCATGATACATCTTTTCTGGATTTTTTTTTCTAAATAAAAAGAACAGCATTTATTTGAAATGGAAATATTTTGTAAGATTATAAATGTCTTTACTGTAGCTTTTGATTTTATGCGTCCTTGTTGAATTTAAGTATTCATTTCTATAAAAAAGAAAAGTACTGATCCCAAACTTTTGAATGGTAGTGTGCATATCACATTAGGGCTGTTAATTAATTGATTAATACAAACGAAACATTACAGATGGAAGGTCTGAGGCATTTAAATGTTAGATGCTCTATGCCTTATGTTTATTGCACACTTAATTAAGTTAAAAAGCATAATTTTCAGTTTATATCATGTTACCTAAATGATAATCAGCTCTATAAGCATGTATTATAGGGCTATTACATGACTATATGTGACCCTGGACCACAAAACCAGTCTTAAGGGTAAATTTTTTAAAATTGAGATTTATACATCATTTATACATTTACATTTGGGAATCTGAGGGTGCAAAAAAAAATCAAAATATTGAGAAAATCGCCTTTAAAGTTGTCCAAATGAAGTTCTTAGCAATGCATATTACTAATCAAAAATTAAGTTTTGATATATTTATGGTAGGAAATTTACAAAATATCTTCATGGAACATGATCTTTACTTAATATCCTAATGATTTTTGGCATAAAAGAAAAATCAATAATTTTGACCCATACAATGTATTTCTGGCTATTGCTACAAATATACCCCAGCGACTTAAGACTGGGTTTGTGCTCCAGGGTCACATATAGCAAATAAATATTGGGGTGAATTAGATGATATATAATTAGATAAACCCACAAAATCACAAAAATAGTTCAGTTATATAAAAAAGTAACATTTCTCTTTAACATCTTTTCATTGAGCTGATGCATTCAGAGGCAATGCATTCTCATTTCTGCATGCTATTCTTGCAGTTTTTTAATTTGCCAAAACAAATAAGGTGCCTTATAAAGGAGCGTAATTTTGGAGCAGGAGTGTGGTTATGATGTCTAAAATGTTATTTATCTAGTTAGCTCGTTATGGTTTGATGCTGGTCATGCTAATGCATTTTGCATGCATTTCCTTTTTTTGCGATATTGCATGAAAATATGACACATTTTATAGTCATCTGAGAAAAATAACGTTCAATTCATTCAGTGCATTGTTATGGGCAAGCAGTACTTTTTGTGACACATATTGACCAACTATTAGTCTCCATGAACTGGATGTTTTGCTCTCTCTCTGTGTTTTTCAGCTGTTTGATGAGTCTCAGGGAAGACCTGCTGTTGTGGTGATGGATAACGGCTGTGGAATGACATCTAAACAGCTGAACAACTGGGCCGTTTATCGTCTATCTAAGTTCATACGAGAAAACAGCATAAAGAGGTGCGCTCTTCAGAAAACCTGTGCTTTTTCTTGCCTACGACTCATTATTCTGGTCATGCAATGCAGATTAGAGCCTTTTCCGATGTGAAATAATATCTAGCTGAACTGTACTGATTGTGTGATGCCTATAACATGGTCGTATGGAGCTTGTTTTGATAAAACCATCAGCTTTTTTCCTCTTCTTTGTTGTTGACGCAGTGAAGAAACCGGTTACGTGCGGCCGGATCCAGTTCCACGCAGTCTGAACAGTGACATCTCGTATTTTGGAGTCGGAGGCAAACAGGCTGTGTTTTACATCGGCCAGTCTGTCAGAGTATGTTTGCATGCAGTTTGTTCACTTTTATTTAACAAATGTCACACTTGCAATACATCTATCGTGTTCATTTGCATCAGTTTTCATTAAAGCACAAGTGCTTTCTCCTATCCCAGATTAATATGCGGAGACAACAAGTGAGCAAGAAGTGTGAACACTAGGGCTGGGTATCGTGTTCGTTACTTTTTAGGCACAGAGCGAATTGCCTCAATACCATCAAGTACTGAAAAATGCAGGGCTCGCAAAATCGCTAGCCCGACGTCCCGGGGCTATTGTGTTTTCCAGTCGGGCTACCAAAATGTATCACTGCCCTGCCCGACAGGCTATCTTGAATAGTGATATAAAATACCTTCCTTGATGTTGTTCACTCACTCGCTTGTAGGGGTGAAACAGATCATAGTTTATAATTTACACGTGTTTCTAAGTCTTACCAATTTAAACATTCAAGCGTTTTAAACCATTCATGCGCATGAAGAATTCAGTTCGGTGCTC